AGGGGGTTAAAGATGCACAAAACTGCAGAAGGGGGACTCTCCACGAGGGCAAAGAAGAAACAACACAGGGAGAAATATTAGAAATACGAACTGAAAGAGAATCCTGTAGGCGAGATAACCGGACAGAAAGAGGAAGGTAGTGAAGAGGAACTGGAACCACAGGAGGGGTAAAAGTTAAAGCATGACAGAGGCGAGAGAAAGGATGTTGCAAGGACCGCGCAAGATAGCGAAGACAGTAGCGATCACGGCGGTTCTGGAGAGATAGGAAGCCAGTGTCAACATACAAGCCAAGAATGGGAGTCGAACGAAAGGCATCATAACTGAGGCGCAACCCATGGTGCAAAGCATCAAGATGGCAAAGAGTAGGGGGAGAAGCAGACAAGTAAGCAGGGCAACTATAATCGAGGTTAGTCAGGACAAGAGAGGAATGAAAAGCGAGGAGAGTGCGCTTAACCGCTCCCCAAGAAGTATGGGACAACATCTGAAGGAGGGTACGGGCTTTAGAGCATTCAACTCGGAGGCAAAAGATATGGGGCGACCAAGCCAAACGAGTGTTAAAAATAAACCCCAAAAGCATAGCGGAACCCTTGTACACAATGGGGTGACCATAAAGCGACAAAGGAGGACGAAGAATGGCACGCTTCCAAGTAAAAGTCATAGCACAAGTTTTAGATGTAGAGAACCTGCAGCCATGATCGGTGGCCCAAGACAACACGGCATCAATTGCAAGTTGGAGCCAGCGTTGAAGGAGAGGCGAATCATCACCCCAACAGCAAATGGTAAGATCGTTGACATAGAGAGCGGAGAAGATGCCAGAAGGAAGAGAGGAAAGAAGACCATTGAGAGCAACCAGAAAAATAGTAGTGCTCAGAACACTACCTTGGGGCACACCTTTGTATTGCTGAAAAGAGGCAGAGAGAGCGGTACCAAGCCTCACCCGAAAGGAACAACGAGAGAGGAAGCTTTGGAGAAAGAGAGGAAGATTACCACAAAGGCCAAAAAAATGAAGTTGGGACAGAATATGATATCGCCAAGTGGTGTCATAAGCCTTTTCCGGGTCAAAAAAGACGACAACAACGGAAGTCTTCGCAGCAAAAGCAGTACGAATATAGACCTCCAAGTTCACCAGGACATCTGTTGTGCTGCGGCACTTGCGGAAACCAAATCGAGAAGGGGAGAGTTGGTAATAGAACCACATCAGACGAATGTTAACCATACGTTCAAAAGAGTTTGCAGACAACTCGTGAGGGCAATAGAGCGAAAGTTCTTAGGAAAAGACCCCAGAGACCCTGGTTTTCAAACAAGGAGGACAACGGCATCGAGCCAGTCCTCAGGGATTGACGACGACTCCCAGATCAGATTGTACAGACTCGGTAAATACCGAGACCTGCACAGAGGGAGATGGCAAAACATCTCAATGAATGCCATCGGAACCCACCACCGTAGAACTGCAGAGGGCCAGGGCAGACCGAAGTTCAGAGAGAGAGAAGAGATCGTTATAGGGAAGTCGGAAATGAGTGAAGAAATCTAGAGGACGAGATTCAAGGACAGGTTTACAAAGAAGGAAATATTGAGAAAGATGAGAACCAGAGCTAACAGAAGAAATGTGGGAACCCAGTTCAGTAGCGATCTGCAACGGGTCTGCCACAAGAGTACCATGGAGGTGAAGGACCAGCGAGACATCAGGAACAAACTTACCTGCTATCTGCGGATACGCTTCTAGATCTGCGGCAGAGGAGTTTCGGACGTAATGGTGGAGACATAAGACATCCAACATTTACTTTTAGCCGTACAGATGGCCCTACGGGCCATCTGTACTACCCTGTACTACCCTATGACCCTACGGGCTATATTGCTCTACGGGCTATATTGCCCTACAGGCCATATTGCCCTACGGGCCAGGCTGCACGCTTACAGCGGACAGCTCAAGCACAGTCTGTATTCCACCAGGGAACGCACTTCTGTGGTCCCCAAGAGGAAGAGCGAGGAATAGAGCGGAGGGCAGTGTCAAAGATGGTGTCATGAAAAAGGAGGAGAGAGCGAGGGAGAGGCAGAAAGGTTTATACTGAAAGTGCAAATGGGAAATGGAGGAAAACTTAGCAAAGTACTAAAAGGTTATGTGCTTTATGGTGGATGCTGCTAAGGAATAATTAACGGTCACTGGGAGAAAGTGTACTCATTTAATTTCACCTAGACTAGTGTTTCTATGGGGGTCAATGACTGCCGTGATACATTCATACCTCAACATATCCATGTGCCAGGATTAAGAAACTAAGTAAATGATTGTGTAGTTTACTTACCTAAACTAAATTCACATCATATACAAACATACTTAAAATGTTGAAAATGCATTTACAAATTTCAAGACATGACTCCTTTAGTGAGGCAAATCACTGTCACCATGATATCAAATTTACCTTAAGCTTAATATGTGAACAAGAAATTTGCAACTCTTCAGAAGTCAAAGTTGTTGTTCAGGATACATTTTATCAAAAATTATTATTACAGTACAATTCTCTTCCACAACTAAACTTTTACAGTAATTTAATAAAACCATGGATGAATCAGTAATTATATCTAATTTTAATCTATGTACACTATATCTAGTATTCAGTGACTAATTATCACAGATTCTTCATTTTAGGGAAGCACATGTTTGCAAACATTAAGCTTGAGTTCACTGAGATTCATTTCTAAAAGTGTGAACACATTAGAATAATTTGATTACCAACAAACTTAAGAGCTATGATGAAACATATCTAAGGAATTGATAATGAAATTTACAAATAAAAAATATGTATAAACAACTGGCCAAGGACACTTAATCGATTAACTGATCATACATATTGTGCACTGTCAGACCGAACATCTCAAACAGATCTCTCTCTCTCCAGAAATTATAAATCAGAAAACAGATTGTCTCTGCATTTAGTTTTTCAAAACTATTTCTTTTATCCACTGTCAGGAATAGAAAGCCCATTGACAGACTTATCGAGACTTCCCTGGGCAACTGACTTGCCTTCTCCAGGATGCACTTGCCAATAATTACTAAACTCCCAGGTACCTATTTACTGTTAGGTGAAGAGAGGCATCATATGTTAGGAAACATAATTATTAATAATAATTTATTTTATTGGGAACAGGTAGCCTGTGTGTGTATATATTGTATATAATTTAGGCTCACATTAAGGTCTCCCCAAAGTTGAATTATCCCTCCCCAAGATGCAACTCCACAACAGTTGATTTACTGCTAGATGAACAAAGCATTAGGTGAAAGGAAACATTCCCAAATATTTGTTTTGCCCAGATATCAAACCCGGGAACCATTCAGTTGTAAGCAAACTGTGCTGACCTCTACACTGCAGGACACCTGTTATTTAAGTCACCAATTTAACAGCTCATTTTATATATACTGTAAACTATGTATTTATGTGTGCAAAATTATATACATGTGTAATAAATAAATAAATTATATATATATATATATATATATATATATATATATATATATATATATATATATATATATATATATATATATATATATATATATATATATATATATATATATATATATATATATATATATATATATATATATATATATATATATATATATATATATATATATATATATATATATATATATATATATATATATTACACATACATACACACACACACACACATTATGATTTATATATCAAATCATGATTTTTCAAAAACGGTAAATACAAATGTATACGTCAATTATCTGCATTTCATCTAATGAAATATTGTGATTACAAATAATGCTAGATAATTGCCCTTTGGTGCTATGTGAAAAAAAACTATACTGTACACTTTACAAAAACTTAACTAGAGTAGTTTTGACTAAATAAAAATCAGTTTCAAGACCTGAACAGTACATTTGAATTACAAAGCTATTCATTGCATTGGGAGAATATTTAAATGTTGAAGGAAACACCAGTCATATGGAAAAAATTATTACAGCCAATGTTTGATTTGAAGATGAGCTCAATCAGATCTTCACACCTTGAGTGTAATAAATTTTAGATCTTGATTGGTGTTCCTTTCAACAGTGGGTCAGCAGCGACTCTACGTCATTCACATTAAAGATGCTATACATTGTTGTAGCCTGTGTAAATTTGACCTATATATACTGTACAGAAGTTTAGCTTGCATTAAATGTGTATAAGCAAAAATCTACAAACAAACTTTCAATTTTCGATGATGAATATAATGCAAATAATAATAAAATAAAATTATAATAATCATAAATGATCAAGATAATAACTAATGGTAATCATTAAATATCAGTAACTATACTTTTTTAATAGTAATAAATTAATCATAATTTGTATTTTCATCGTCCCATTATTTGCAGAAAGCAGGATTTCAAAACAAGGACTGCCAAATGAGGTCAGTTACTCAATTTTCATCAAAGTTAACATTAAAAACACAAAATTTCAATAATTTTATATCATGCTCTAATGCTAAGCTGTAAACTGCATTTCTGCCCCTCTCCCTCCCCCATTAAAAATGTAAAAAAAAAGAGTACACTAGTTTTAATATTAAACATAAATACACAATAATATCTATATTGGTAGTTATCACATTTGTCGCCATTAGAACCTAATCTGTAAGTTATTACCAATTAACAAGTTATGTACAGTTTTTTTTTGTCTGAAATTAAAGGATTCTATATATGGGAACTAAATTTTAATTTAATATGTAGAAGAATATTATGGTTTGCATAACTAAATATGTTAAACATTAATTATGTCTTACAAAGATTCAAAGCAAGTTCATAAATTACATGGAAAATTTGAATTACGTTGACTCTTCTTTTCACCTCTTATTATGGCATTAAATAACATTATATAACAGGCAAGTCCTTTGAATTTGTTCTTTTATATTCCATTAAAATTCATTAAGTCACCAGCATCAACAGCAAACCTGATACCTAAAACTAGTTTATATACAATTATAAATTTCTGGAACACAATAACAAGACTTACAATATATGGAAATGAATATGCCATGTTAAGAAATGAAAATAAATATGAAAATGAATGGAAACAGCCACTTGTCACATAACTTGTATATTGTTAAATTTCTTTGCTCTTATAACCATTTCAATATCATCAGGTTCATTGTTTCATGGCCAAATTCAATTCCATCATAATAAATGAGGCAAATATCCATGAGAACATTTCACTACCCATTGGTTTGATTAAAAATGGATTGCATTTACTTACACTCTTACAAATGCTGTCAAGAAAATTCTGGATGTAATAAAAATGTTAAATACACTATACAAAATTTCAGTCTAAGAAAATACTATATATTTATAGAGATACAAGATTAAAACTAAATTTGTAATATAAATTTAAAAAACTACAACATATTAAGTTTTATAAAAAAGCACGATAAATATTTTACCAATAGAGGCCTTTAATCCTTCTTTGTACATGACTGTCTAATTTCCAGGAGTCACACATGAATGCGACCGTAATAAAACCCTATAATCATGACACTAAAGTGGTATATATGATATGATATGTACATGTGTACTGTAATATTTTTATAAAATATATTGAATGAAATGCATAACAGGTCATTTGAGTAATACGACTTGTATTGCACTTTTTGGTAATAAAAGGCACATGCTAAATCGCATATTAATCCGTGTGCCCTATATAAATTTATCAAGTACTGAAATTTAAAATGCAACATGAATAGAAAAGATAGCCACATGTTACTCTATACCAAATATGTACAGTACTGTATATGGAGAAAGGTAATTAAATGGTTTGCATGATCACTAAAGGGAATCCAGGTTGCCTGATGTAAGCTTAGATGCATAAAAGTTGATTACCTGAAACAATAAACAAACAATTAACATGATATAAAAAAGCTCAATTATGGAAAAAGTTATATATTGTCACTAGATTTTATTTACTGAAGTCTATATTGCTCATATATCCAATTAATATATTAGTTATTAATTTGTATTGGATAAAAATTAACACTTTTATATTTGCAACCCATGCCTGAAGAGGTATGTTAATTCCTTGTATGGTATACTTTTAATTCCTTGCCAAGTTAAATTTAAACACCAAAATATTTTATTTGCAAAAATATCAACTACACAGGAAAATATGACAGTGCAAATTTATAAGTAAGTTGGACAATTAAAAGCTTGTGTGTGTTTGTGACTGGGGAACTTACTCTGTAGATAAATGCATACTGCTCCTTAGTCTGAACAGCACCTGCTCGATCTCTTCTAATGGAGTACACTGTCCTAGGAACATCTACACTGCGCTGGTCTTCAAATTGTCGCATAACAATGTCACATGCCAACAATGTACCCGTACGACCAGTTCCTGGACTGTAATGAGATATAATATTTATATAATAGAAAAATAAAATTGAACTCCATATATAACACTATTTATTTACAAGGTACAATGGGTTTCTAATATTACATAATATTGGTATTTTTACATTCTTGCAAAGCCACTAACATGCATAGCATTTCAGGCAGGTCCTTAACACTTTCGCGCTCTCGGCGCTCAAAAAAAAACAATACCCCAGATGCTTTCGGCACTTCGCGCGCCTACGCGGTAAGACCGAAAAAGTGTACACTCTTTTGACTGTCCTGACAATAATTGAAGGTGCACGTATTTAAATTTGGTATCACTGTGTTCGCAATGAAATTGTCTATAAGAGCATACCTATAAAATGCCGCCCAAGCATAAGGAGTATCAACACCAAATAAAAAACTATGCAGATCACTCGCCGAGAGCGCCAAACAGCAACAAAATGTTTCCACTCTCTTAATGGTTGCGAAGCCTACAGTTGTCCTACATCGCTAATTTTGGTATCATTGGAATCGCAATAAAATTCTCTACACGGACATATGCATATGAATGTTTAATATAGGTAATTGCCCACCCGCAAGAGTGTGTGAATTGGAGAGTAGTTAGCCGCGAGCGCACTGGCGAAAACACAGGGGGGAAATCATGCTTGGAAAGTTTATACATTTATACGTTTCCTGACCCTACTTTTCTATGTACGTATTTCTTTTTTATACCAATGTGTTCGCAATAAAAATTTCTATAAGATGAAATGTATAACAATTGTACAAAGCATGTGTAAGAGAAGCGCCAAATATAGAACCACGTCGCTCAGTATGCGTTCGCGGCAGAAACGAACGCATTGTTTTCGTTCGTTTGATGTTTGTCATGTTTATACTTGTTGAAACATTTTATAATTTGTATGACAGTGATCGCAGTAAAATTCCCTACACAGACATATACATAACACATACAAATATTTCCCACGTGTTGGATATATCAACGGCTAAAGGGAACCCACTGCCACACGCCCGCCACACCCAGAGCCACACCCCCAAACATACTTTGTGTGTTTTTTTTTTACTCATAGAAGTTTATGTGATATAATATTCATTCTGTATCTGTTGAGTAGTGGTTATACAATGCGTATGCATTGTGCATGGCCATTTGCAGAAAATAGAAAGTGATCTTCTTGGTCCATTTGTGGGTTTTTCTTGCAAACTCATAATATTTGACCATTTGATCAAAATGATCAACACATTTCATGAACTTATTGTAATCCACTATGGCCTTTGGTTTGTTCATTTTCACAATTTCTACTCCAGTTCTCTTGTCACGTTTACGAACGCGTTTCCTGCGCTGTGCTTGAGTAGTGTCGGCATTGTGGATATTGGTGATGACAGAGACGGGGCGCTTGTCCTTCCAAACTATAACATGATTTCTATTTCCATGAAAACTCCATGAATGAAACTCCATGAAAACTATTTCATGGAGAAAAATCTGAGAGTATTCCCATCCATTTCGGTTAGAAAATGGAATTTATAGAAATATTTTTTCGATGGACTACAAAAGTAGGCCGTTATGCGGAATCGTAAGAAAAAACGGCGACAAGTTATCTCTAATCTAAAGCGCGAAAGTGTTAATCTAAACATATAAAGTTAGATAAAAAGATACAGTACACTGTAGCAAAACTTTATACCAACATATAACTACAATATAAATTGACAGATGATTACACCGGTGAAGATGCATGTCCTAAGGACCTGCCCGAAATGCTGTGTGTGTTAGTGGCTTTACAAGAATGTAAAAAACATCAATGCTATGTAATATAAACCCAATGTATCTTCTTGTGTGTGTATTTTTTATTTATATGTATATATATATATACTGTATATATGTGTATGTATGTGTGTGTGTGTGTGTGTGTGTGTGTGTGTGTGTGTGTGTAATTACCTAAGTGTAATTACCTAAGTGTAGTTACAGGATGAGAGCTACGCTCGTGGTGTCCCGTCTTCCCAGCACTCTTTGTCATATAACGCTTTGAAACTACTGACGGTCTTGGCCTCCACCACCTTCTCACTTAACTTGTTCCAACCGTCTACCACTCTATTTGCGAAGGTGAATTTTCTTATATTTCTTCGGCATCTGTGTTTAGCTAGTTTAAATCTATGACCTCTTGTTCTTGAAATTCCAGGTCTCAGGAAGTCATCCCTGTCGATTTTATCAATTCCTGTTACTATTTTGTATGTAGTGATCATATCACCTCTTTTTCTTCTGTCTTCTAGTTTTGGTATATTTAATGCTTCTAACCTCTCCTCGTAGCTCTTGCCCTTCAGTTCTGGGAGCCACTTAGTAGCATGTCTTTGCACCTTTTCCAGTTTTTTGATGTGCTTCTTAAGATATGGGCACCACACAACAGCTGCATATTCTAGCTTTGGCCTAACAAAAGTCATGAACAATTTCTTTAGTATATCGCCATCCATGTATTTAAATGCAATTCTGAAGTTAGAAAGCATAGCATAGGCTCCTTGCACAATATTCTTTATGTGGTCCTCAGGTGATAGTTTTCTATCTAGAACCACTCCTAGATCTCTTTCTTTATCAGAATTCTTTAAAGATTTCTCACATAATATATAGGTTGTGTGGGGTCTATGTTCTCCTATTCCACATTCCATAACATGACATTTATTAACATTAAATTCCATTTGCCAAGTGGTGCTCCATATACTTATTTTGTCCAGGTCTTCTTGAAGGGCATGACAGTCATCTAAATTTCTTATCCTTCCTATTATCTTAGCATCATCAGCAAACATGTTCATATAATTCTGTATACCAACTGGTAGATCATTTATGTACACAATAAACATCACTGGTGCAAGAACTGAACCCTGTGGTACTCCACTTGTGACATTTCTCCATTCTGATACATTGCCTCTGATTACTGCCCTCATTTTTCTATCAGTCAGAAAATTTTTCATCCATGATAGAAGCTTACCTGTCACCCCTCCAATATTTTCCAGTTTCCAGAACAACCTCTTATGTGGAACTCTGTCGAAAGCCTTTTTTAGGTCCAGATAGATGCAGTCAACCCAACCATCTCTTTCCTGTAATATCTCTGTGGCTCGATCATAGAAACTGAGTAAATTCGATACACAGGATCTTCCAGATCGAAAACCATACTGTCTGTCTGATATTATATCATTTCTCTCTAGGTGTTCTACCCATTTAGTTTTGATTTGTTTTTCCAATACTTTCACTATTACACTTGTCAATGATACAGGTCTATAATTGAGGGGGTCTTCCCTGCTGCCACTTTTGTAGATTGGAACTATGTTAGCCTGTTTCCACCCGTCTGCTACGATTCCTGTACACAGGGATGCCTGAAAGATCAGGTGAAGTGGAATGCTGAGCTCAGATGCACATTCTCTCAGAACCCATGGTGAAACGCCATCTGGGCCAGCTGCTTTGTTCTTACCGAGCTCCTTGAGCATTTTTTCCACTTCGTCTCTAGACACCTTTATGTGTTCTATGTTGTTCTCTGGAATTCTTATTGTATCTGGTTCCCTAAAGATTTCATTTTGTACAAACACACTTTGGAACTTTTCGTTTAGTGTTTCACACATTTCCTTTTCATCTTCCGTGAATCTATTTCCCATTTTCAACCTCTGAATATTATCCTTTACCTGCAATTTGTTGTTTATGAATTTATAGAATAGACCTGGTTCTGTTTTACATTTGTCCGCAATCCCTTTTTCAAAATTTCTTTCTGCCTCTCTCCTCACTGCCGTGTAGTTGTTTCTCGCATCTTTGTATCGCTGGTATGTTTGGGGGTTCGGCCTCTTCCTGTATTGATTCCATTTTTGTGTCTTTCGGTCTCTAGCCCTCTCGCAATTTCTATTGAACCAATCCTGTTTCCTAGTTCTGCATCTCTGTTTTGGTATAAATTTTTTTGTGCCTTTATCATATATTTCACAAAACTTGCCATACATCTCATTCACTTCCTTGCCTAGCATCAAGTCTGTCCAATTATACTCACTAAAAAAATTTCTAAGGTCACCATAATGTCCTCTCCTGAAGTCTGGTTTTTCAACTGCTTCAACCTCCTTATTTTCTTCCAGCTTATAACGCATTGCATACTTTATTCCCAAAAAGACATGGTCACTTTTACCCAAGGGAGGAAGGTACTGAATGTCAAATATCTCTTCCTCCTTCCTGGTAAATATCAAATCTAGCATGGAGGGAACGTCCCCTTCCCTCATCCTCGTTGCTTGTTTAACATGTTGATACAAGAATGTTTCCAGGATGAGGTCTACAAATTTACAGGTCCAAAATTCTTCTATTTTAGCTTCATATGCTTCCCAGTCTATGGATTTCAAGTTGAAGTCACCGACTATCAACAGTCGTGATCTATCGTTATCCGCTCTCGCTATAATCTCTCTCATTATTGTTATAAGACCTTCACGTTTACTATCTAGCTCCTCCTTTGACCATGTGCTGCTTGGCGGTGGACTATATGCATTTATCATCATTAGTTTATCATCCTCATAGCAGATCTCTAGTGCTATTAAGTCAACTTCTTGTGGATTGGCAGTCATTATTTCCTTCACCTTTAGGTGTTCTTTTACCAGCACAGCAACGCCACCGCCTTTCCTAATTTTTCTGTCCCGTCTCCAAATTGAGTAGCCCCTTGGGAATATGACCTCATTTAAAATTACATCTTCAAGTTTTGTCTCCGTGAGTGCAACAATGTCTGGTGCTGTGGAAGGTTAGGTTAGGTAGGGTTGGTTAGGTTCGGTCATATATCTACGTTAATTTTAACTCCAATAAAAAAAAACTGACCTCATACATAGAGAAAAGGGTTGCTTTATCATTTCATAAGAAAAAAATTATAGTAAATATATTAATTCAGGAAAACTTGGCTTATTAGGCAAATCGGGCCTTGAATAGTAGGCTGAGAAGTGCGTTCTGGCTATTAGGTACGACATATATATATATATATATATATATATATATATATATATATATATATATATATATATATATATAATATAAATAATTATAATTATAACATATATACATACATACATACACATACTGTATATATGTATAGCTTAGCTGGGTTGATATCCAGCTAAGTTGTATAGTTGGGTATAGTGTTTACTTAGCCACGTTTCTGTTAAAATGACATTTTTGTTTAATACTGATATGCTAGTGTAATTTTGGAGTTTGTTTTTTGCAAGGTTTGCTGTATAGTAATTGCAGTAGTGATTAATGTGCTGGTTATTGCAGATATGTGATAGCAGATTTATTTCAGGATCAATGTCACTTTGCATGGAGTGAGAATGAAGAAGACTTTAGGGTATTCAAATATGGTATTAGAATATTGGGGAGGTGTGCAACAATAAATTACAATAAAATAAATTACAATAAAAATTGTATTAAACAATTACAGTATAATAAAAATTCAATTTAATTTTTTTTTTTTTAAACAACGCTGTTTGTCGCCCAATTGTATTTGTGCTGCTTTTCCAGCCATGTTCCCCCCTTTTTTATCTCTATTTTTATTTGTTCTCAACACATTTTATTCTTTATACTCAATTAGTATTAAGCTTTAGTCATTTAAGTTTTTCATGCCTGAAATGCTTTGCGTAATAATGGCTTTAGGCATTGTATGTACTAGCCCTATCTATAAATCCATCATTCTTTGTAAAATCTCTTGTATGTATGTACCTTACCTAAATAAACATTTATTTATTTATTTATTTATTTATTATTTATCTATAACTTAAAAATAGTCATAGCCCTAGTGGATTTTCTCAATAAAAATATTATTATTAAATAGTATAGCAATTCCATTTAACTCACCTGCAATGTATAACTATAGGCCCTTTGGCTCTGAGCTTTTTACGTGTCCTCCTCACGTCAAGAATAAAAGATATAAATGCCGTCTCCTCATTGGGTACACCAGATGCTGGCCATCCAGTAAACCACATGTGGGCCACCTCACGAACTAGGTTATTCTCCAGGTTCTTGAGTTGAACATTTGACACCACAAACTTTTCCCTCATATCTCGAGACTTGAGTGTTACCTGAACATAAAAAATAATTTGTATAAATATCAAGATACTGAAAGTCTACATGTTCTAGTTACAAGGATTCATGTTTCTGCACAGTTGAGGTACATTACTGTTTGGCTTTAGACTATTTATTGCAAACATATTATGTATTATAATTAAGTCCAGTAAAATGCACATGAAACAGTGTTATATGAAGTCAGGCGAGTTATTTAAGATGCAGCCAAGGAGTACAAGGATCAGATTAATTCAATGTGCAGACAATTCTTATTTTGACTATCCATCCGTGATTCAACTGATAGGCAAAAAATATAAGAATTTCTTCCCAATGGCTGTGATTTCAGAATTACTTATATACTACTTCCATTATCAATAGTAAACTAGATAATTAAATGTACAATACTAACACTCACTTTGCCTGAAATTAGAACAAATTAATGGAAACTTATTCCTGAATACACTTAACATTTATTTACAGTTGTTAAATATTATAGGGTCTCGTAGTGCGGTTCACTCCATTCTTGACTCACAGTTGGGGATCCCAGATTCAGTTTCTGAGTGGGACAGAAATGGGTGGGCATGTTTCCTTTCATCTAATACCTTTGTTCACCTAGTAGTAAATAGTTATCAAGGAATTAGGCTTTTATGGGGGGTTATATCCTGGAAAAGGTCAGTAGTTTAACCTTGCAGGGACCTCAGTAACAGCCAAAATTGCATACATAAACATGCTTCCTGTCCCCAACTAAATAAATTATGTTTCAATATTAAATTTACCTGGAAATCACCATATAATCTATGGCAGTCCAATGTTTCTGAGGGCGGAAGGTAGTCTGCACACTTGTCAATTCCTTTCTCTACAAAATCTGTCAGCATTACCACCACCTTCGTTTCCTGCTCCCAAATCATTCTCCAGAAGTCTGCTACAGTATCGTCCAAGGGAGCCTAAGATAGGTAACAAGTATTATTATTTTCATAATTTATGTTAATGGCACTGAGAAATTAGTAAAATTTTATTTGATTAAAGCTGGGATTAATGCCATAATTTTCCCTGTCCCTTGCATGGTGTGTGAAGGTACTTTCACAGATCAGATCTTAAAATATTGTAGTTAAAGCGGGTTAAGATATTCAGAACATCTGATCTTTTATAAAACCTGCATACATCAGTCAAGTAAGTTTAATTCTGCATTTACAGAGCATCATTTTAAACTAGTACTGTACTGACAAACTCTAGCAATATATCCACACCAGTACAGTATCTTTAATATTTCATTGAAATTTACTGTTCATTATTTGTTATAAATCAAATTGTGAAAGTAAATAATGTGTGTAAATATAATAAATTCATATTAGTACAATATATAGATACAACTAATATTAATAAAGTAATGTTAGGCATAGATACCTACTTGCAAAACCACTGCTATGCAGTGCTCCTGACATATGCTTTAGACCTAACACAGTGATTGAGATACCTGAAATTTAACTGCATATTGTATAATGAATATATGCAGCGATTATTTTAGCAGAAAACAGCCAGCCTTACCATTTATGGTAAGGCTGGCTGTTGCTGGCTGTTTATATATATATATACAGTATATAATATACACACATATATATACAGTATATATATATACAGTATATATATATACAGTATATATATATACACATATATATACACATATATACACACATATATATACACATATATACACACATACACATATATACATACTATGTTAGAGGTGGGGGTACAGGTTTGGTGAGACAAGCCATGGAGCTCAGGTACTAGCAAACAGGTAGAGTTTACTCTGCTATAATGTACTTTTCCATTCACTAGAGTCTAGGCCACATTGTTGGTAATGAGGTTAAGTAGTAGTAGTTTTGTATGTTTAGATTAAGTTTTTCCAAGATGAGAATAGTTTGTAGAGTTTATCTTCTGTCATCTGTTGCAAAATCAAGTATTACTGTGTGTTCCTCATGCATTTATCTAGCAAGTGCCACATCATGATTAGGTCACACGATTTTCTGTGAGGAGCCCCTTTGACTTCCTAGAGCTATAGGACTGGTATGTGCTATATTTGTCTGGGGTTTTGGTCAATGCAGTTCTGCCTACCAAGGACCAAGAGCCAGAACCTGGCCCCCTCAGAGGTGCAGGGAGCAATGGCCTAAGGAAACTCCCCTTTGTATTTGAAAGAATTCCCTGTCTGCTCTTAAACGGGGTTAGGCACACAGGGGTCTGGTAGCTGAGTGGACAGCTCACAGGCTCATAATTCTGTGGCCCGGGTTCGATTCCCGGACCAGGCAGAAACAAATGGGCAAAGTTTCTTTCACCCTGATGCTCCTGTTACCTAGCAGTAAATAGGTACCTGGGAGTTAGACAGCTGTTACAGAGTTGCTTCCTTGGGGGTGTGTGTGTGCATGTGAAAAAAAATAACATTAGTTAGTAGTTAGTTACAGTTGATTGATTGACAGTTAAGAGGAGGGCCTAAGAGCAGAGCTCAATCCTTGCAAGAACAACTAGGTGAATACACAGAAAGGTAGGCATCTCAAAACAAACCCCACATAGTAAGAAATTGAAAAAAAAAAGACCGAACAGAGAAACAAAACTCACCAAAAATAACAAGAAAAATAAGCAAACAAGCAAACATTTACCACTGCCGCTGCACCACTTGTCTGTGCAGCTCCCCCACCCACATGGAGGGGAAGGGGTGGACCAGACCCCCATGTCGGCTGCCCTGCTGTAGACTGAAGCACTCTGGGGTGGGTATCAATTCTGGCCTCCAATTCGAGATGGAGATGGAGGCATTCGAGCCTGCTCCTCCTGCCGAGGCTTCTGGATCCAACCAGCAGACCCCCCTTCTTTGCTGCCATTCCCCAGGACTCTGCCTTTTCTTCAGGGGTGGAGGATGGCTCTGCCCCAGGGCTGGGGAGGAGTCGCCCTGGGGGGCTTGGACTCCCCTTTGATCCTGCTTGGGTTTTGGTGCCCTCATTGCAGGGTTGTTTGTTACAGGGTGAGGAGTTTTCTTACCTCCCTTTCCTGTACGAGTTTGATTTGGGGTTGGCTCCTCCTTGAGTTCAGTTTCGGGTTCCCTCGGGCTCCTTAGCTCCTCCTTTCCGAAGAAAGAAGGCCAAGAACCACCCATTCACGAAGGTTTGGGTGGTTCTTGGGGTTTACCTCCTGTGATACCAAGAATATGCCTCTGTGCTGGATCTATCTTCACTTGAGTACAATTCTTCCTCTTATTGGGTGCGTTGTAATTTCCCAGGGGGTCTTCTTGGCTGGCAGACTGCCCTCTTTTTCTCAGGGAGCATAGCATGGGTTTTGTCAGACCCACATGCTTGAATGGCGGGAGGCTACTACTGTTCTGCAGGTTTACCTAGGGGGCAATTTTGAGTGCCTCCATCATGCCTTTTCACCCCGTGCTTCTTTGGGATGATGGCCTTCAGCAGCTTCACGTGCAGGTCCTCGCTCTTTTGGCTACTTTGGCTGCTGAGGACTTTCACACCCATGGGCATTAATTTGGCCTCGGTCTTGCACTTCTTTTCCCTTCTTGAATTGTTCTCTGACTGGCTTGGGGAAGATGTGGAGGCATTGTACCAGTCCTTCATCTGGGGGTGCTGGCCTTAGTGGCCAGCGTATTGGCTGTACTGTTGAAGCTATCTACGCCAATCCTCCGGGAGGTGGTGTCTGTTCTTTGCGTCTTGCCTTGTGTGTCATCAGGCCATCCTCACTCTCTCCTTGGAATCCGCTTGAGCCCTGGCTCTTACATTTTCTTCGCCCTTTTGTTTGTTGTTATTTGTCAAGTGTGCCGTGACTCAGTTTCTGCAGGCGGCCTCGTCTAGTTGCTGTCCTCTGACAGATTTGTTGGTCATCCGGGGTGGTCGTTCTTGGGCTTTTCGAAAGGGTTGTGCCAGGGCTCGGGGGGTCTTTTAGTCAGGTGGGCCCATGGTGCCAGTTTCTGAACCGATGCCTCCTAAACCGGCATCGTCTGGTCAGCACAATGCTCGCTCTGCTTATAGGCTGACTTCTAGTAAGGGACATCAGCCCTTTCATGGTTCACCTCGTTGAAAGGGCACTGGGGAGGAATGATGCACACTCTGCTCATGCTTTGTCCCGCGATTTGTGGGCGTTTTGGGTCATGTCCTCTGGCCTGTGTTAGCGTTGGGTGATGGCTCCTCCTTTGAGGGGGTTTGAGGTTGGTAGGGCAGGTTCCTTTCCCCTTCATTCCATCAGGTTATCCTGGAGTGGGTGCGCTTGGGTGTGGTCAAACCCAACTTTGTCCCTCAAGTGGGTTTCCCGCCTGTTTCCCATACTGAAAGAGGAATATGCGGATCTTTGTTTTATTCTGGACTTGTTCCATCTGAACTCTGATTCCTTGCCCATCCTTTCGGATGACCACTTTGCCCCAGGTCTGACTCCACTTGGAGCTGGGCTCTTGGATGGTGTGTCTGGACCTCTGGGACACTTATCAAAATCCCAATTCATCCAGGGTTCAGGGACTGGCTAAGTTTTGTAGGGGGTGGCGTGCTTACCGTTTCCATTGAATTCTGTTTGGCTCAATTCTGGAACCTAGCATTTTCATGCACCTTACCAGGGTCATGGTGGCCCATCTGCATCTGCTAGGGGTTCGGGTTCTGGTCTACCTCCACGACTGGCTGGTGTGGGCTCCCAGCCGGTCTGCTTGTCTGCTCGCCAGGGGTTTGGTTCTTTCCCAGCTTGTCGGGCTCAGGTTCCTGGGGAATTGGAAGAAGTCCCATCCAGTTCTGTCCCAGGTTTGGACCTGGCTGGACCTTGTGTGGGACTCTTAGACCGCTTCTGTCTCTCTCCCTCCTGCGGCATTGCTGAAGCTGCAGTCCCGCCTTCAGCTGCTTCAGCACCTTCACCTCTACGAGATTATATATTCCTTTTACCATACATGCTTTTTACCCTACGTACATCTTTGAGCCTTCCATGGATTCCCCTCTCTTTACTCACAAAAAGCTGACTAATTCCTGGGTACCTATTTACTGCTAGGTGAACAAGTGCTTGACATGATAGGAAATGCACCCAATCATATCTGTCTCATCCGAGATTCAAACCACGAATTCCCGGTTGTGAGTCGAGAATGAACTGATTGTACTTCCAAACTGATTAGCATGTAGAAGTTTATACACTTAAGGAAATTTAGTTATTTTGTTGCTAAAGATCAGTGTTAAGTCACTGCTGTTCCACAGTAGTTATGCACATATTCTGCCTCCTAATGCCTCTGTTCACCTAACAGTAAATAGGTACCCAGGGGCTATTCAGGTTTTTGTGGATTGCATCATGGAGGGGGGGTAGTAGGTTTGTATTGAGGACCTTGGGGGTGGGAGGAACCTCAATACAAGCCTAACGTGTATATATACAAAGGTTGTTTATCCCCAACAAGATGGATTATTATCTTACTTGTGTTGCAATATAGTACTTGGATTCATTTCTGGCACCTCGCACATAGTTTGCATTGATGTATTCCGAGTTTCGGGAATCCTTCAATTGTTTTAGAAGAACTCTTGTTTCTGGCACTGGTATCACATTTGCATATCTGACATGAAATACAAGAAGATAAAGTTAAAAAAATGTTACATTCTAAGAGGCTTGTTTGTAAACACTTGTGAAAATGCTCAAGACAAAATGATAAGGGATGCTTTACAAGCCAAAGATTTCAGTCCCAATTAAGGCTGCTAAAGGAAGTTGCTATGTGTGAATTCAGGTAATTATTATGGCCAATTATCCTACAAAACAGTATTGCTGCTTCAAACAATTATAATTAAAGGTACAATAAGTAACCATTGGTTAAATAAGCTTTGTTTAGCATTTTGGAAAGAATACAGATACTTGAGAGAATCTATTTTTTCAATAAAGTATCTGTTTAGCAATTTTGGAAATTACTAAACTTGCTACTGTATATAGAAAATAGGATGCTTGCTATACAGAAATAGTTACAAAGGAAAACTTGCATTACATATAAAGGAAACTGATTTTGTGTGTGTGCATTTTTATTGATATATATATATAAATAATATATATATATATATATATATATATATATATATATATATATATATATATATATATATATATATATATATATTATTTATATATATTATTTATATATATATATATATATGTCGTACCTAGTAGCCAGAACGCACTTCTCGGCCTACTATGCAAGGCCCGATTTGCCTAATAAGCCAAGTTTTCATGAATTGTTTTTCGACTACCTACCTTTTTCGGCTACCTAACCGAACCTAACCTATAAAGATACGTTAGATTAGGTTAGGTATGGTTGGTTAGGTTCGGTCATATATCTACGTTAATTTTAACTCCAATAAAAAAAAATTGACCTCATACATAATGAAATGGGTAGCTTTATCATTTCATAAGAAAAAAATTAGAGAAAATATATTAATTCAGGAAAACTTGGCTTATTAGGCAAATCGGGCCTTGCATAGTAGGCTGAGAAGTGCGTTCTGGCTACTAGGTACGACATATATAATATATATATATATATATATATATATATATATATATATATATATATATAAAATGGCCACATTCTCTATTACTATCTTCTGGTTTAGGGCTTCTATCCCTCTAACTATTAATCTTGCATCAGGGTTTAGTTGAAAGAGGAATTCTCCAAAACTCATGTTTGTTTTTCAAGGTGAGGTAAAAAGTGATTGACTATAGAATGTATTACACTTATTATACAATTACACAATGTTTCAAACCTACATGGTTCATTCTCAAGTGATAAGAAACTACAGATCTCACTAGATTTTCACCAGTACAGGGTCAGGTAAGAAAACATGTAGAATACAGGAAAAGGCAAGGGTATAAATAGGGGATAAACTACTAGGGGATAAATAGGGGATGAAGCACATACAAAGATTAATCGGGTGTAATAGGCCTATTATGTTGAGCAGTGTCTTCTGTGATGGTATTGTTATGTTCCGTCTTGTTCTTACTCTCATGGTGGGTAGAATAAATAGTTCCATGATTTGGGTATTCATGGTAGTTGTTCTATTCACATGTGGATTGCTTCAAGAGGCAATCTTCAATCTTGAAGCAATCCACATAAGAATCACTTTCGCAAACAGAGTGGTAGACGGTTGGAACAAGTTAAGTAAGAAGGTGGTGGAGGCCAAAACTGTCAGTAGTTTCAAAGCGTTATATGACAGTGCTGGGCACACCACGAGCATAGCTTTCATCCTGTAACTACACTTAGATAATTGCGCGCACACACGCACGCACACACACACACACACACACACACACACACACACACACACACACACACACACAAGAATAAGGAGAGGGGGAACAAGTTCCTGAAGATTGCATACACCAACATAGATGGAGTGAGATCGAAGATACTGGAGTTAAGTGATGTAATACAGCTGCAGACACCAGACATTGTTGCACTCACGGAGACAAAACTTGAAGATGTAATTTTAAATGAGGTCATATTCCCAAGGGGCTACTCAATTTGGAGACGGGACAGAAAAATTAGGAAAGGCGGTGGCGTTGCTGTGCTGGTAAAAGAACACCTAAAGGTGAAGGAAATAATGACTGCCAATCCACAAGAAGTTGACATAATAGCACTAGAGATCTGCTATGAGGATGATAAACTAATGATGATAAATGCATATAGTCCACCGCCAAGCAGCACATGGTCAAAGGAGGAGCTAGATAGTAAACGTGAAGGTCTTATAACAATAATGAGAGAGATTATAGCGAGAGCGGATAACGATAGATCACGACTGTTGATAGTCGGTGACTTCAACTTGAAATCCATAGACTGGGAAGCATATGAAGCTAAAACAGAAGATTTTTGGACCTGTAAATTTGTAGACCTCATCCTGGAAACATTCTTGTATCAACATGTTAAACAAGCTACGAGGATGAGGGAAGGGGACGTTCCCTCCATGCTAGATTTGATATTTACTAGGAAGGAGGAAGAGATATTTGACATTCAGTACCTTCCTCCCTTGGGTAAAAGTGACCATGTCTTTTTGGGAATAAAGTATGCAATGCGTTATAAGCTGGAAGAAAATAAGGAGGTTGAAGCAGTTGAAAAACCAGACTTCAGGAGAGGACATTATGGTGACCTTAGAAATTTTTTTAGTGAGTATAATTGGACAGACTTGATGCTAGGCAAGGAAGTGAATGAGATGTATGGCAAGTTTTGTGAAATATATGATAAAGGCACAAAAAATTTATACCAAAACAGAGATGCAGAACTAGGAAACAGGATTGGTTCAATAGAAATTGCGAGAGGGCTAGAGACCGAAAGACACAAAAATGGAATCAATACAGGAAGAGGCCGAACCCCCAAACATACCAGCGATACAAAGATGCGAGAAACAACTACACGGCAGTGAGGAGAGAGGCAGAAAGAAATTTTGAAAAAGGGATTGTGGACAAATGTAAAACAGAACCAGGTCTATTCTATAAATTCATAAACAACAAATTGCAGGTAAAGGATAATATTCAGAGGTTGAAAATGGGAAATAGATTCACGGAAGATGAAAAGGAAATGTGTGAAACACTAAACGAAAAGTTCCAAAGTGTGTTTGTACAAAATGAAATCTTTAGGGAACCAGATACAATAAGAATTCCAGAGAACAACATAGAACACACAGAGGTGTCTAGAGACGAAGTGGAAAAAATGCTCAAGGAGCTCGGTAAGAACAAAGCAGCTGGCCCAGATGGCGTTTCACCATGGGTTCTGAGAGAATGTGCATCTGAGCTCAGCATTCCACTTCACCTGATCTTTCAGGCATCCCTGTGTACAGGAATCGTAGCAGACGGGTGGAAACAGGCTAACATAGTTCCAATCTACAAAAGTGGCAGCAGGGAAGACCCCCTCAATTATAGACCTGTATCATTGACAAGTGTAATAGTGAAAGTATTGGAAAAACTAATCAAAACTAAATGGGTAGAACACCTAGAGAGAAATGATATAATATCAGACAGACAGTATGGTTTTCGATCTGGAAGATCCTGTGTATCGAATTTACTCAGTTTCTATGATCGAGCCACAGAGATATTACAGGAAAGAGATGGTTGGGTTGACTGCATCTATCTGGACCTAAAAAAGGCTTTCGACAGAGTTCCACATAAGAGGTTGTTCTGGAAACTGGAAAATATTGGAGGGGTGACAGGTAAGCTTCTATCATGGATGAAAAATTTTCTGACTGATAGAAAAATGAGGGCAGTAATCAGAGGCAATGTATCAGAATGGAGAAATGTCACAAGTGGAGTACCACAGGGTTCAGTTCTTGCACCAGTGATGTTTATTGTGTACATAAATGATCTACCAGTTGGTATACAGAATTATATGAACATGTTTGCTGATGATGCTAAGATAATAGGAAGGATAAGAAATTTAGATGACTGTCATGCCCTTCAAGATGACCTGGACAAAATAAGTATATGGAGCACCACTTGGCAAATGGAATTTAATGTTAATAAATGTCATGTTATGGAATGTGGAATAGGAGAACATAGACCCCACACAACCTATATATTATGTGAGAAATCTTTAAAGAATTCTGATAAAGAAAGAGATCTAGGAGTGGTTCTAGATAGAAAACTATCACCTGAGGACCACATAAAGAATATTGTGCAAGGAGCCTATGCTATGCTTTCTAACTTCAGAATTGCATTTAAATACATGGATGGCGATATACTAAAGAAATTGTTCATGACTTTTGTTAGGCCAAAGCTAGAATATGCAGCTGTTGTGTGGTGCCCATATCTTAAGAAGCACATCAACAAACTGGAAAAGGTGCAAAGACATGCTACTAAGTGGCTCCCAGAACTGAAGGGCAAGAGCTACGAGGAGAGGTTAGAAGCATTAAATATGCCAAAACTAGAAGACAGAAGAAAAAGAGGTGATATGATCACTACATACAAAATAGTTACAGGAATTGATAAAATCGACAGGGAAGACTTCCTGAGACCTGGAATTTCAAGAACAAGAGGTCATAGATTTAAACTAACTAAACACAGATGCCGAAGAAATATAAGAAAATTCACCTTCGCAAATAGAGTGGTAGACGGTTGGAACAAGTTAAGTGAGAAGGTGGTGGAGGCCAAGACCGTCAGTAGTTTCAAAGCATTATATGACAAAGAGTGCTGGGAAGACGGGACACCACGAGCGTAGCTCTCATCCTGTAACTACACTTAGGTAATTACACTTAGGTAATTACACACATTGTATGAGCTCCCTTATCCAGATTCTGCAAAACCGAATATTTGGGTTATCAAGCCAAAATCACATCTGGATAATTTTCTGGAATATCGAAAACTTTTCCATATTCGGACCAAAATCCAGATAACTGGAGATTAGGTTATGTAAATTTAAAAAAAATTACACCTTTCAAGACCTACATTATTAAACAACCAACATTAAATGTAATGAAATGCCATTTTCTGGGTAAGACCCAGAGGCTCCCCAGAGCTATCCAGGCTGATATTTATATTATTAGACTTTGGCATCAGACAGTGTGAATGGAGTTCTAGGCTTACCAGGAA